GTACCTTGTATATTTGTTTACTTTTTAAAAAAAATTTAAAAAAAAAAAATATCTTGTGGTAAATTATTTTGGTAAATGACCCCAGGATGTTGACGTGTTTTACAATAGATGTAATGGTTTATAAAACACACACGTTAAAGAATGAGAAACTTGTGCACAATTTTGGTGTTCTTCAATACTTGCCTAAACTGTAGTCATGACCTACTTACACTAGTGAATTTTTCCACTGGTGACTTCACCTACTTCTGTTTCAACTCAACGACTTCAGTATATAAGTCAGGCATATGCTCTACATCACTCAGGATTGATGGACTGAACACATCAACACCAGGCTGAGGGACTGATTACTCAAACTCCTCCTTATCTTCTATTGTTCTTCTCTGTATTGGATTAAAGAAGCTACTGGCTGGCGAAAGTTTCCACAGTAAATATTCCTAAGTATCTCTATCTTCAATAGTGTGAGAAAGCAGCTTGTAATAGGTTTTTAAGTAATAAACGAAAATAATGACAGATGAAAGACAAATCAGACAAAAACAGTTGGATCCTCATTCAAGGATACTTTGTAATTAATGTTGTGTTTAAAAATATATTTGCTATTACTCAGCTTGGGTGCTGCACTTGGCTCATCATCATTACCATGAAGAGTTTGAAGTGATGATGTAACTCAAACAAACACCGATCAGACGTCCGTTGTTTGTTCTCTGCTGCCACTGACACTCCAGACTCCAGACATTGTTCAAGCACTTCTTCATCATATTTCGTGGGTGTGGTAAGACCAACAATTATGCATAGAAGTGTGTAAAATAATTACAGTGAAAATATAAAGGAAAAAATTGATAAGAATTTTAAGATATTTTTTGTCATTAAATATTATTTATTACTGCTACTGATTTATTTATCAAAATAAGAAATTATTGATTATCAAGTATCAAAACAATGTTCAGTTTTACATAATTACTGTTTTGCTTATACAAAGATCAGTTTTAATGATAATTTTCCCTTAACTGACTGAAGCACGGATTCAACAGATATTTAGGGGTAAATAAATACTTCCTGTTTTGGCATGAGCCATACTAAATGTAAAGGAATGGAACATAGGAAAGCAGGGTAGTACCTTGTATTCTTTATATTCTCTCTCTCTCTTTCTTTCTCTCTCTCTCTCTCTCTCTCTCTCTCTCTCTCTCTCTCTCTCTCTCTCTCTCTCTCTCTCTCTCCCCTCTCTCTCTCTCTCTCTCTCTCTCTGCCTACACACACACACACCATTTACACACACACAGCATGAACCAGCAAGACTGGATCTCGTATTCACCGTGAACAATTCAGACATTGAGGACATCACATATGAGAGGCCCCTGGAGCTAGTGATCGCGTAGTTCTGAGTTTTGATTACTTAGTAGAGTTACAAGTTGAGAGGGTAACAGGGGTCAAATGGGAAACGCAAACTATAAAAGGGGGACTATATAGATATGAGGAACTTCTTGTGGAAGGTTCAGTGGGAAGAGAACTGGTAGGAAAGTCAGTAATGAAATAAAGGAATATGAAACAACAAAATGCAAGGAGGCAGAGGAACGGTTTTTTCCCCAAGGGTAACAGAAACAATGGGAAGACCAAAGTGAGTCATTGGTTTATCAAAGGTGTAGGGAGGCAAAAACTAAGTGCATTAAACAATGAAAGAGGTACAGAAGGCAAAGGACCCAGGAAATAAGATCAGTCAAAAAGCCAGAAACGAGTATGCACAGTAAGGAGGGAGGCCCAGGGGCAGTCTGAAAAGGGACATAGCATCGATAGTCAAGTCTGACCCGAAACTGCTGCATTGCCACATAAGGAGAAAGATAACAGTCAAAGACCAGGTGATCAGGCTGAGGAAAAAAAGGGGGGGGAAAACTCACAGGAAACGATCAAGAGGTATATTAGGAGCTCAACATGAGATTTAAGGAAGTATTCACAGTGGAGACAGGAAGGGCTCTGGGAAAACAGGAGAGAGGGGGACACCAACTGGAACACACCAACAAGTGCTGGATGACATACATACAACTGAGGAGGACGTAAAGAAGCTACTAAGTGACCTTGATTACCTCAAAGGCAATGGGCCCGGACATCTCCCCGTGGGTCCTTAGAGAGGGAGCAAAATTGCTGTGTGTGCCACTTATCACAATCTTCAACACGTCCCTGGAAACTGGGCAATACCTGAGGTATGGAAGGCGGCAAATGTAGTTCCCATTTTTAAAAATGGAGACAGAAAAGAGGCACTAAACTATAGACCTGTGTCACTGACTTGTAAAATATGCAAAGTTATGGAGAAGGTTATCAGGAGGAGAGTGGTGGAACACCTGGAACGGAACAAGAGTATAAACACCAACCAGCACGGATTCATGGAAGGCAAACCCTGTGTCAAAACCCCTTCTGGAGTTTTATGATAAAGTAACAAAAGTAAAACACGAGAGAGAGGGGTGGGTTGATTGCATCTTCTTGGACTGCAAGAGATTAGTGCAGAAGCTAGAGGATCAGGTGCATATAACAGGAAGGGCACTGCAATGGATCAGGGAATACCTGACAGGGAGGCAACAACGAGTCATAGTACGTAATGAGGTATCACAGTGGGCACCTGTGACGAGCGGGATCCCACAGGGGTCGGTCCTAGGACCACTGCTATTTTTGGTATATGTGAGCGACATGATGGAAGGGTTAATGAGGAGAATTAAATCAGATGAGGAACAGTCAGGACTTCAAAGAGACCTGGACAGACTGGACACCTGGTCCAGCAAATGGCTTCTCGAATTTAATCCCGCCAAATGCAAAGTCATGAAGATAGGGGAAGGGCACAGAAGACTGGACAGACTGGACACCTGGTCCAGCAACTGGCTTCTCGAATTTAATCCGCCAAATGCAAAGTCATGAAGATAGGGGAAGGGACAGAAGACCGCAGCAGTATAGGTAGGTGGCCGAACACTGCAAACCTCACTCAAGTAGAAAGATCATGGTATGAGTATAAATCGAGCATGTTTTCCGGAAGCACTTTATAAACCAGATAACTGTGCAGCATATGGGAGCCTTGAAAACCCTGAGAACAGCGTTCCGATACCTTAGCAAAGAATCGTTCAAGCACTGTACACCGTGAAACGTCAGGCTTATACTGGAGTATGCAGCACCTGTTTGGAACACGCACTTGATCAAGCACGTCAAGAAATTAGAGAAAGTGTAAAGGGTTTTTGCCACAAGGTTAGTTCCAGAGCTAAGGGGAATGTCCTATGAAGAAAGGTTAAGGGA